GAGATGAGGCAGCCTCCGAACCATTTATCCCTGCTCATTACACTCTGATGGCTCTCAGAACATGGGCCATGGCCCCCACTCACCCGCGGTCTTGGCTTTGCCAAAATCAAGCCCCTTCCTCCACATGCCACCTCCGTTTATCTGCTTGTCTTGGCTTATTTAACTCAGTCCAGCGTGGAGTTTAGATGGAAGGTAATGCTCAGGCTGAACTGAAACGTGTGCTGGGAAGAGAGCAGGGGCATGTAGGCATAACAGGAGCCACAAGAGGAAGAACCCAGTTTGGGGGTGTTATCTAGGCCTGAAGTGGTTTACCCGTGCGGTTGGGTGGTGACACAGAAGGTAAACCACTTCAGGCCTAGATAACATCCCCCAAACTGGGTTCTGTGTGGTTATGCCAGGTAACTTGTGTGGTTATCTGGCATAATCCCTGGGTGAGGAGGATTCACTAGCCAGGGGCTACAAGATCATTTCACACAGGAAGAGAGCATGCAGGTCTTCTCATCCCCACCCTTCTTGCTCTCTTGCATCTGAAGATATTTGGGATCACTGCTGTCTCAGTGCACCAAGGAACGGATGACCCCTTTTTTGGGAGCACCTTTGCTTAGGGAAATAAATCCCCTGCCTAAGCAGAGAGTGCCCAGAAGATGAATGCCCTTAAGAGGCTGACCCTGTGAGTCCTTGCTCGGTAGCTATTGCTTCTTCCTCACCCCTTCTGCAGAGCTAAGCAGCTCACTCGATATCAATGGGCTGCTGGCCTGAATAAGGGGATGCAGGATCTGGCCTGTGCTTTCTTCCTCCTTCTTGAGGTGGGTAGAAGGTTGCTGGGTCTCTTTTGCAGAGAACCTACACACACAGCAGCCACCCATCTGAAAGCTTGACAGCTGCAAATGAACAGTCTTAATCAGTCCCCGGGAAAGCAAACACAACTGGCCCCTGACATGACTGCAGATGGCTGTGGTATATATCTCCGGTCACTGAGGCTCCTTCCCTGCAAAGAGCTGCAATCAGCACTCTGGCTAATTACAAACACCGGGGAAAGGCAGACCAGCGGGGTAGGGGGAAAAAAAATCAATGCTTGAAAATAGCATCAACAGCACCCACCTGGGGCGGATGGGCGAGGGGGTTGAAGATGCATGCCCCTGGGAATTGCCCCTGGGCAGTAGTAATGAGGGCACAGGGGCTGGGGGTGACACAGAAGCCAGCCCGTGGAGCACTGGGAAAGCAAGGGCCACCTTTAACATATCTGTGTGTGTCTGCGCACACGCATTAAGCACGAGTTTGTCTCTCCAGGCCTCTCCTTGTGCAGATGTCTGTGTCCTGCTTACGGCAGAGCAGTGGTTCTCGAGTGCTGTAGGCTCGAGGCACCCCTGGACAGACTTGAGGCACGCTTCAGAAAATGCCAGCTTTTAGTATTCACTCTTTTTTTTTTTTTTACTACAGAGCAGTTCTTCTCTTGCAAAGAGCTCAGCCCACCACAGGCCTGAATGTTTTTAATGCTACCGATTCCTATTTGCAATCTCTGGGTTTATCTTGTGAATCACATTTGCGCGCCTCTTGGCGCTGGTATTGCATGGAGCCCTGGGGCACCCTTGCAAGGATCTCAAGGCCATCTAGGATGCCGCGACACCCTGCTTGAGAATCACTGTCATAGAGCCTTGGTCTGACCTCGAGACCACTGGCCTGCCCACTGTCCTAGAGCCTTTATCAAGCTCCCACTCGTGAGGAGCTTCCTCTGAACTCAAGAGAGGAACGATTGCCTGGTTGATACCTTTTTATTCCAGTAGACAGTTTTCTAAGTGCTGGGCGAATCTCCCTCTGCAGACTTTGGCAGGGGCTAAGGCGTGAAGGGCCGAGCGTGGAAACGTACCAGAAACTGTCATGAAACCACTGAGCCTGTTTCCCTTCCTGCAGCGGAGAGCATGCAAAGAAGCGAAAGCTCCCGGAGAAAGCCAGCCAGCCACCCCGCCTGCTGCATGGACCGAGGTGCGGTTGGAAACAGATGGGACCATTTGCTTAATTACATGATTTTTTGCCCCGGCAGCGCTCTGCCTTTTAACATTATCTCGTTAGCGAGATCTGTCCATGCCACAGCACTCTGTGGGGCGGGCGTGAGCAGGAAATGGCTGTTGCATTGCAAGTGGCTTTTTTTGGGTTGTTTTTTTTTTTACGAAAGAGATCGTAGTAAGGAAGGATTAAGCTGTGTTGGTCAGAGCAAGTTTCCTGCTGCAAGCTCTGAAACTGTAACCATCTGCACCATGGGGCAGGCCATCGCGGGATGATTTCATGATCATGAGAAGGAACTAAGATGAGACAAATGTTGTCTCTTGGGCTGAGTGTCCTACTAGGGTCCCGGATCGACCTTGGGTAGCTCTTTGGTTTCCTCTGGCTTGAGTCCCCCTCCCATGAGAAGTGGGTAGACATATTTGCCCATTCCCTTGGGTATTTGGAGGGGTTGTTCATGTCTGGAGATGGAGAGGGTGGACAGAACTCAGACTCACTTTACTCTGTCACTGAGGCTAGGATTTGAACTCGGGTCTTCAGTGCCAAGACAGGTCTTGCCTTCTCACCCCTGTTGCTACTCCAAGAACCTCCCTTCCATTTTCTGTCTGTCCCAGTTTGCTTTCCTCCCTGACCGTCTTTGCTTTGATTTCCCTTGGTTTACAGCCTTGCTCCTGGACGTCATGATTGTGGCTGGCCTGCAGAAGCTGGCCAAGCGGAAAGGCCCGTACGACATCAATCCCGGCTTCTTGGACTACCTGACCATGGACATCTACGCGTTCCCCGCCGGCCACGCCAGTCGCGCCGCCATGGTGTCCAAGTTCTTCCTCAACCACCTGGTCTTGGCCATCCCCCTCCGGATCCTGCTGGTTGTCTGGGCCTTCTGTGTGGGGCTTTCCCGTGTCATGATCGGACGGCACCACATCACGGACGTCCTGTGTGGCTTTGTCTTCGGGTACTTGCAGTTCAGGCTGGTGGAGTTGATATGGATGTCTTCCAACACATGTCAGATGTTGATATCCATCTGGTGAGCACGGCAGGCCTGATGCTTTGACGCTGGAAACAAGCGGACACGTTACCTTTCTCTCTCATTATTTTTTATATGTTACTGTCCGTGTTGGGTTAGAAACAAATGCACTTCCATGAGTAGTGGTATTTTTTAATGTTACTTCCCTGCCTGAAAAAAACCCAACACTGTTTCTTGCAACTGTTTGGGTTTCAGTAGTCCAGGGCCGTCGCCATGTTCTGGCCGTTTCCTGAAGTTCTATTTGAATGGCAACCAAATTAAGCTTTAAAGGTAGCACAAGTGAGCACTGTTTGGACAGTGCACTTCTGATGCCTTGGTGTGTCCCTAGGATGCACAACACCTGTTATCCCCTCAAGGATGCTTAATTAGCTTCTTGGAGGCTAAGTGTTTTTGGCAAGAGCATCACAGCGCTTTCTCTTCCCATAAGCCCAGCCATTGTGTCTTGTTCAGAGCCAGAGATGCTGCTGGACTTCCCAGATAATAACACTTCTGCCATGTTTGTTCCTTATCTTAACCAGGGAGTCTCCCAAGGGGTGGTGGAAGCCCTATTGCTCGTGACATTTAAGTGCAGACTGGACAGTGCCATGCAGGGATCAATCCTGCACAGGCTCTTGGGAGATGGGACTTGTGGACCCAATACCGTTGAGCACTTAAGCTCATGCTTTATTTTGAGCATGTGTTTAAATCCTATTGACTCTGGTAAGACGTAGGGATGGGCTGAAGTGATACACATAATAGGGATGAAGGACTTACGCATATGCTTAAAGGTAAGCAGCTGCTAGATGGTTTGTTGAATTAGCTGTTGAAAATCCTGCTCAGCCAGGGTGACTGTCGTTTTGCTTTTGTTTCTTGGAAGGAGAAATAAAATACTCACGTTTCCCTCCTGGCAAGCGGCGCGGGCTGAGGTGATTCTGTGATTGCTCATGACGGTCGGACTAGGCTGAGGTCGATGGGTCCCTAAGAGTAATTTCCATTTCCTGAACCGACTCCTGTCATTTCACACTTCTGCAGACTTAATGTGATGTTGCCAAGTGTCGTTTTCCCAGCAGCTCGAATGCAACACAACGGAGGCCAGGCGTGTTCCACAAGCTGGTGGGGGCACACGGTCCTCAGCTCTGCTCCCTGCTCTGCTTCCTTCCTTTGCGTCCTCGGGCAAGTAACTGAATGTCTCTGGGCCTCAGTTACCGTGTCTGGGAGATGGGGGCACTGATACTGTCCTGCCAGGGCTGCGAGGCTGAGTTCATGTAGGTCTGTGATCCGGTTTGAGATTGGGATAGGTTAAGCACCGCACAGGCACAGTGCATGGCTCTTCTGTGTGTTCCTGAGCTATCCCCCTGACACCCCGTTTTTACTACAACAGGGACTATGTGCAAACACACTGTGCCTCTGAGAGGGATCCCCCCCGCATGAGTGTCTCAAGACGCTTTAGAAATGGCCCCCAGATTTTTGCAATTGTCCTGCCTCTTCTGCAAAATAATCTTGGCGTTCCCTTGGGAGCTCACTGCACCAGCTCTCCGGGGGCTCCCGTGGCCGGATGCTTCATCTCAGCTCCGTCAGAGGGTCCCACCTTTCTCTTCTCCCAGTCAGTGGTGGAAGGTAGTCACTCTTAGTACACCCGGCTGGAGCCACCAGGCACCACGTTCCCACCTGCTGCCATGCTTCATTGCTATCTCGGGGCAGACGTGGGGTCTGGATTCCACTCCTCCCTACCCGACACCAAAGGAGAGGCCATGGCTGTCCCAGGAGAAAGGTGAGAGAGACTCCAGGCAGCCCAGTTCCTCTGGAAGGGAAGGAAGGGGTGTTTGAGTTAGCAGAGGCTGCAGGTGTGTGTGGTGGTGGTGATTGTTTGTTAATGAATATGAAGAGAAGATACATTGGAAATCTATGCTTGGCACGCAGCCCCAGCTGGGGGAGTCAGCCCAGAGCCCTGGGAGCCATGACTGCTCTCCCCATGCAGAGGAGTGTAGAGGGGAGGGAGCTGGCAGGATCCAGTTGCATTTCGAGACAAGAAAAATGGATCAAGCTCCCGCTGAGCTTGCCTGTGGGCAGTCGTGCAGCAGCTGGGGGGCAGCTCTCATGGGTGCACTGTGTCCGGGCCCCTTCCCCAGGAGAGGAGCGCCCTCGTTCTTGGAGACCACCCAGCAGCGGGGAGTCGTGGGAAGTCCGTTTGAGCAGGGTGATAGGGAGGTGCAGCCTGCTCCTGCTCCCAGCTCCTCCCTACACTCTGGGGGAAAGACTCACCCCTCTGGTCTAGCCTCTCATTGAGGAAAGGAAACCAGGATCTTTTATGGCTCCCAGGGGCTGGGAACTTCTTGGCAAAGCCATCTCTGGTGCAAGGCTGAGAGCTGCGGTTTCTCTTCCTTCTAGGTTTCCCTGGACTGAGTACAACTGAGTCCAACCTCAGGAGAGATGGAGGCAGGCAGCGGGAGCAGCCAGGAGGGTAGTTGGATGTGCAGGGGGAACTCTGACCTCTAGGGACAGTTAATCCAAAGCCCCAGGTTGAGGTTGGTTGCTCCAGGTGCCTTTCTGCAGGGTCCATCTCCCTTCTCCCCTACTCCAGAGTCACACTAGTATCTATACTGGCATCAGTGTGGGGAGAAGAGGGGGCTGGGAGGCACCATGGGTTGGCAGACATCGGCCAAGTAAGCAGGCCCTGCTCTGCTGCCAGCCTCCTCCCTGGCGTGGGAGGGGGATGGAGATGGCCTATGTAGGGGACACCCTTATTTTGTGTTAGCTCAGACTCGTTTCCCACAAAGTTACACTGACATAAACCTCATTGAAACCAGTGTATCCACATGGGAGCTAGCTCCAGTTTAACTCTATCGCGTCAAGCATCGCCCCCTCCTTTGTGCAAATGCCCCACATCAGACGAGAAGCCAGTGCTATGAGATCAGCACAGCTCCTGGGCACGGGCCCTCTGCGGCCAGCGTAATGGAATCTAGGCTAAGCTCGTGGTCACTCTTGAATCTAGTTAAGAGCATTGCTCGGCCGGGCCCGGCCTCGGTGTAATTAAATCGGCGCTCAGACCACAGGCAGCCAGCCCCTGGCAGCTTGCAGCACAACATTCGTATGACTGCCCGGTGACTGCAGCAGTCCCAGGGGCACCAGGCCTTCTCTCTGCCCTGGTGAGCAAGAGGTTAAATCTGGCATGGCTCCCCGCTGCCCTTGGCCAGATGCTGTAGGAGGAGGATGTCTGTGGGAAGGTCAAGCCCTGCAGCCAGGTGCAGAGGATCACTGAGCTACAGAGCGGGGCAGGGCTTGCTGTCAGCTGTCTCCTTAGCCAGTGCTTGCCCTAGAGGAGATGCCCTTGCTGATGGGAGCTGGGTTTCCTCGAGGGCAGGCTGGACCTGGCTTGGACTCCCTTCTTGCCCTCTGCCAGGCCTTCCTCCATCCTAGCCAGGCTTCCTTCCGCTCCTGGGGGCACCTGCATCTCTGCTTCAAGGTGGGGTCTGGCGGTCCTGAGCCTGCCCTCTGGGAACTTCTGCCCCTACCGGGGGGCATTAGCTGCACCTCCCAGCTGCATCCATGAGACAAGACGGCTGCCAAGAGACTTCCCTGATTCCTGCCTTTCCCCCCACAAAGCAGAGAACCAGGGCTCTCCACGGCCATTGCAGTGAGCCACGCTGCGCCTGCCGCATCCCTGGGCAGACATGAGCATCTCTCCTGTAAAGCAGCAGCCGTGTGCCTCCTGTCAGCTGCAGCTCCACAGCCACCAGCTGCAGCTAAACAGGGGGAACCTGCCTCCATCTCTATGGCAACAGTCAGCCATCGCAGACCCCGTTCCTCCTGCCCAGTGCAGCTCATCTGCAGGGGGGTGGCAGCACCATGCACCCCTCCGCCGGGTTCCCGGTGCAGTGACCTTGGATCGCCAAGCTGCCGGGGATGCAAGGGCCGGCTCCCTCCCCTATGGGAGTTGCTGCAGCTCGGTGGGCAGACAGTGCCCATTGCCATGATAAATCACTGTGTGTGTATGAGCGGGGCAGGGGATGGAGGGTTATCGATCAGCTCCCAGGCCCAAGGCTGGGCTGGGGGAGGGCTGGCGTGGAGCTCCAGGCCTCCAAGCAGCTCTCCCTGGACGGTTTTTGGAAGCATGTGCGTGTTGGCGAGGGCTGGGTGGTCGCAGTGCTGGCGGGAAAGGAACCCGTTGCTCTCCAGTTTGCCGTTTGAGCAGTGATGAGGCAGGGGCGAGTGCATTTGGCGGCTCGGCAGAGTGCGGACATTCAGGGCCTGATTCTTCTCCCACAAGGGCATCAGGCACCGGAGTCACTTCATGGGAGTCAGGGGGGTTACGCCAGGAGAATGGCCCCCGCCTCTGCTCTCTAGCTTTTGTATCCTTACAAGCGCTTTCTTCTTCCTAGGGTGTAATACCTGCCTGCTCCTAAGAACTGAGGCACAGCCTGTGGCTGCTGATAAAAAGCAGGGCTGGCCAGCCAGGAGCAGGGGACCAGTTTTGTTGCCTCTCAGCAGGCCTTGCAGGGATGGCTGGTGGGGCAGGGAGCTGCATACCAACTGCCTTGCAACCCCATCATCCTCCACATCTGTGCACACAGGTGTGGTAGCAGTGTGGGGTGTGCACAGCTGTATCCCGCTTGGGAGGGGGGCAAGGCACTGGAAAATCATTGCCTTTTACAGTCCACACACCGCAAGTTTGAACCCAGCCTAGGGCAGGAGGGTCCAGCTGCTGATGGCCACAAGCTTGGGGACCTGAGCCTAGCGTCCGGAGGGGAAGCAGCAGCATCATGTCAATCCCCAGCACAGCGGCCAGCTGCAGGGAGAGTCCTGGCAGAGGCAGGGGGCTGAATTCCTGCCCATCTTCACCAGTGCCCCTGAGTGCAGGGCTTTGCCTTATGGCCCGTGCTCTGTCTGGACAGCGAGGCCTGCTTTAAACACAGACTCTGCTCTGCAAGTCCAGGGCAGACGCCGGGCTGCTCGGGTCTTCCTCAGCAATTCTTCTTGGTGGGGGTGAGTGGCTGTTAGCAAGAGCAAGGCAGGGAAAGATGGGTCAGTCACCCCCTGAGAGGTCCCCTGAGGAAGCCCAGAGAAGTGGAGGCCTCCCCGGAGAGCTGCCGGCCCTAGGGACTGGGACAGAGCAGGTAAAAGCTAGGATGTGAATGGTTCCCCGAGGGGCCTTCCTGAGATGGCTGGATGCGGGCCAGGGGGAGGGATGAGCTGCCTGTGTCTGAAAAAGGAGCTGCCTTGGCACGAGGCTAGCAGCGGCAGAAGCATGAAGCAACCCATGCATGGGCTGGCTAGGTCCTGCTGTGGTCTGAGGAACCAAAGGAGGCACCTGTTGGTCCCCTGCATCTCACCAGGTGCGGTCCACAGGGCTTGTAGGCGAGCTGTGGCCGAGGGCTGTGTGCTGTTAGCTCCCTGATGGCAGTTCTCTGTTCCTGGGCTGGAGGAGACCCTTCACCCCACACCAACAAAGTGTGCCCCCTGACACTGCTCCTGCCCCCCCAGCACTGCCCTGGACTCCCTCCCCAGCCCTGCAGGCCTGGCAGGGCAGCTTGGAGTGGAAGGGGCACAAGGTCCTGCAGGTTCATGGGGCACAGAGAGAGAATGGCTTGACTGCAACGCTCGCTCCACTCGAGAGTCCCTAGGCACAGCATTTCCCCAAAGTCCCTGTGTACAAGCTGCCCCTCTTCACGGGTGCCGGGAGGATCAAACACCGTGTCGTCTGCCATCTTCCCCAGCAAGCATCGCCCTCCTGGCATCTCCTGCCTTTCAGCTCATCCAATACAAAGCAGTGGAGATTAACAAGTGCCTCTGCAGAGGCCAGGGCAGTGCGTGGGCTGCTTGCACCAACGCTGAGTGTCTCTGAAAGAAGCCAGCGCCTTCTGAGGACGAGGGGACTAGTTACCTGTTTATTTTCAGCGTGCGCAGCACGG